CGGTGTTCGGCCAGTCACAATGCACTGGGTCAGCTGGCCAGTCAGAGCAGACTGCGCTTGTCAAAGGAGGGGGCTTTGTTGAAAACGACGTGTTTGAAAGAGGCGGGGCATAGAGGACCTACAATAATGTACAGGATTTTAAAAATAATGTGTTTTTTGAACATTAAAGCATGTCAACATATCCTGTTACACCAAATACACAAAATAATGATCTTTAAAATAGCATCATATGACCCCTTTAAATTACATTCCTTTACCTCTTCAATTGCAAATGGCAAGACTGGTTGGCGAACTACTTGTATTCAACTTTAGATGTGCTTTACATGAATTGCCAATGCATGTTAATAACAGACATACTGAATTAGTTGTGTGAACTCTTCTGTGTGTAGATGTAGGCTACACACTTCAAGTTATTTCAACTGAACAGGTAAAAATGCACGTAACCAGCAAAGTTTAAGCCCTTGTTTTAGCGCAGTGATTGACAAGCGAGTAGGTGCTCCTTTACTGCTGTTCAAACACATTTGACTACATACGTGTATACTATGATTGCCATGTGGTCACATGCATTTTCTATCACCTTTAAATAAAAGTAGACAGACGGACTATTTTGGACCCCATTTAGACTTGTATTTAGCATTGTACACTTGCCCAAACTCACATTTTAATGGCCAGTTTAAAAAGGGCTTTAATGAGTACAATGAGGTCGAATTTTTTCTATTTCTTTAAGGCCCTTTATAGACCTTATTTTGCAACTACTCCATAGGGTGTTTTTAAATGTTATCAATAGAAATAAACCATTGTTATCAATCATCCTGAGCTCTCGTACCAATATTCAGCAAATGCTAAAACTGGTTTTAAAAATGTTCACAAACATTTTTATTTAAAAAGCAAAATGTGATGCATTTTATGTCACGAAAAGGGGAAGGGTTCAAATTAGGTTTAAAAAATACAACAAAAACATGTCTATGGATGCTAGAAAAGTGCCAACTGTTTGTGGGGTTAAGAAGAGGTGAATCTCAATCAAAACCTTATCCCATAAACCCAACCCTAGACTGTTACAATGACACTCAAAAGAAATATCATGCAGCAAATTTGGTGTACTATATTTCTCTGAGAACAGAATGACACTTTACCCAAGTACACATGATCTTGTAGTTAAGGTGCTGGTAAATTTCAGATCACATAGTCTTTTTTCCTTTTCAAGAGACATTCATATAAACCAGTGAGCTAAGGCTGACCACATTACCTGTCATCATTTCAAGATCTTTTTACAATAGGGCAAAACAAAAACAGACTTAATTTTTTCTGTTGTTGGACCACGGTAGAATAAATCCACCAAGCAGACAACTTTGATTCTCTAAATGCAACAGGGGCATCGGTTTTGTTTGAAGTGTGGTCAATATCCCACTACTGTGGTCATCATTGCACATGACTTGTTGATCTCACCGTTTAAGAAAGGTGTCATCCAAGGGAGGTACAACTTTATGCCTATTCTGTTAAAAAAAGGCTGTCCCGTGAGCATCTTTTTGTAATTAAAAAGTGGGAAAACACTTAAATTTGAAAGACCACAGCAGCAGCACACTTGCTTTGTCTTATTTACTGATCAAACCATTTGGCCATAGCATTTCTTTACTCTCTTCCTTTTGAAAATGGTGGTTGGAATGCAAGGACTGGTCAAGGAGAGAAAATTAAATGAAGAGAATGAAGTTAAAGAAATGAAGTATACACTTAGGATTAAAGGGCTTGGGAGGGTACACATACTTTTAACAGAGTATAAACGAAAACATTTCTGCAAATTCTTTTTGGCAAAGTCATGTGCTTTGCGAGTCACAGAGAGGCTCTTTAACAATCATTGGAAACAAGTTAAAAAACAAAGTTTGAACTGACAATTGCATGTTTTTACCTTAAGAGGCAACCATGATCACATTGGGAAACAAAATAAACAATTCAACTGGACCAACTGAAGCACCATAAGATCTGCTTGTCAAGTATTATATATCAAGTGAGTAGTGATTTTATGACACTAACATGAGAATTCGACAGGCTAGAGGCCCATCAGACCCTAACGATCGCTAGACACTGGAATGATTCAGAGTGAGGAAATAACTCGCTGTTCACTTAAGAATTACTTTCATGTGCATTCAAAAACACTTTGCTCTGAGCCAAGCATGCCATCCATGAACGCACTACTCGACTGTTCTGATGACGACTACTGATAAAACTGAAAACAGGAGAGTGTATTCCGAGTCAAGCGTGCAAAGCATCTTAAAGTAAGAGTGCCATTTCATATGGTCATGATATCATTCATTAGACATGAAAGTTGAAAACTCATCAGCATGATCACTTTTACTCTTAGACAAGTCTTAAACATGAAGGCCTACTTTTAGAGAAATGGTTTTGTTTCACCACTGGTGCTTAACTCTGTAAATTTCCTTACTCCTAAATACTTGCATCTCAGTGTGAACACATCTTTGTAGCATTTGGGTGAATTTTCAAAATACATTTAAATCTGATTATATACTCCAAACTAGTTACTTTAATGTTCCATTGATTTGATCGTTATGAAGTCCACACTAAGTTACATGTAACTGCAGAAATTCAGTTTTTGGAAAAAGATAAAAGGAACTGGGGAAAGTAAAGAGAAAAAAGTAGACCATCCATACAGAACTCAATACATCAAATTCCCTCTAACAACGCATAGCTTCTCCACAGGAAAAAGTGAGGAGGATGTCACACTTCTCTTTCTGACACACACACACACACACACACACAGATACACTCACACTGTGGGTCCTAAAAGGTCCCTGACTGTGTCCATACCCCTGAACCCTGTAAATTTAGTTGTGGATAGTGCTGTGCTCCAGAAGCTGTGAGATGTCTCGAGTTAGCCTGACTGGGTCTGTCTGTTCTCTGGCTGTGCACTCTGGACGACTGGGCCAATCTGGAGCCATGAGCACCTTGTGTGTGTGGTACTGCAGCGCTGTCCATTTTAAGGTGGCCTCTGGCGGGTAGAGAGAGAGCAGCAGACAGGGTGCTGTCCAACAGTTTAGCTTTAAGGCTTGAGGTGTCCATTCCACCTCCACTGCTGCTGTGAGGATGTGGCGCACACACTGATGAGTCCACTGAGGAGATGGATACTGTAGAAGAGGACGGGCTTTCTTGGGTGAGTGGGCTGTGTGTGGGCAGCTTTAAAGGATAGTAAACCGGCCCCCCAGAGCTGCAGCGGGGAGGGGAGGGGCTTACAGATGGACAGAATGGAGAGGAGGAGCTCTGCTGGTCGTAGGCTGGGCTTTCCAAATGCTGATGGGATTCTGGCTGGAGAGGCAGCATCTGCTAGATGTTCATTAAGAGACAGATTTAACATATGGTTTCCACAAACATATTAAGCAACACAACTATTTTCAACATTGATAATAATAGGCAATGTTTCTTTAGCACCAAATCAGCATATTGGAATGTTTCTAAAGGATCACGTGAGACTACAGCCTGGAGAAATGGCTGCTGAAAATTCAGCTTTGCCATTACAGGAAATAATTACATTTTTAAATACAAAAAAAGTTATTTTAAGTTGTAATCACTTTTCACAATATTACTGTTTTAACTGTATCAGCCTTGGTTATCAAAAAGACAAATAAAATAAATCTTAATTATTCTAAACTTTTGACTGGTAGTGTATGAATTCCATGACATTAATCAAAATATCTGTTCTTTTTTTCTTCGGTTGTGCATCATGAACATTCTACCTGATGTGGGTGAAGAGAAGGACTCTCTAAGGGAGACGCCAGAGATGAGCTTTGAAGATCAAACATGTCCATCTCAACAGCATCTGACAAGACAGAGAATTAATACAAATCTGCTGATAGCATACTCAGTTCTGTTACGGAAGAGAAAACAAATAGAAAAAAAAAAAAAAAATTCTAATCATACCAGAGCTCTTGTCATGACTGCTGATTTGGTCATTAATTCCGGCATCTGCTCTTTTAAGGGCATGCTCTATGTTTAGATTACCCCTCAGAACACGCTCCAGAGCACCCTGTCCCTCCCTCAACCGCTCAACTGATGTAGAGACCATCCTGATAGACACAGAAAGTCACAGTCACATTCACGATGACCGTTCATTAGGAATCTGTGAGAATGTGTATGAAGAGCTAGAATTTAGCAGGACCAGGTTTATTATCGTTAACTAAAACTATTTTTTTTTTAAACTGAACTGTAGAATAACTAGAAATAAATAAAAACTAAAACTGAAATTAAATAAATTAAACCTAAATAACAATACAAAAAAAAAAAAAAGACAAAAGCACATCAAATTTACCAAAACAAACAAAAAAAACACTGCAATGTCAACAACAGCACCAAATACTGAGGTGTTTACAATCACATTCCTCTGGTGCGTAGCCCCAAAAATAGTTTAAAAAATAAAAATAAAAACACAAAAGCCTGTACACTTCAGAAGTCTTTATTCAGAGGCCAGAAAAACACATAAATACTCGGTACATACCACAAAACAACATTTTTATGGCCTCTTTTTTTTTTTAACCAAGAATAAAATAAAACTGAAACTGAAAATATAAAATTAAAAACTAACTGAAAATCTTAATCAAAACTCCAACAGTGTCAAAATAATAATAAAATTACACCGAGCAGAACTGTTGACATAGGTTGGTATGAATCTCTGTGTTTTTTTACTCACCAGTGGTTGGACTCTGGTCCACCCAGCATTGTGGTCTGTGTGTGGTTTCCAGACCTGATGCCAGGAGGACTGACCTCCTCTATCTGTGGAAAAGCTTGGCGTTCTGGAGAGAATGAATTGTGCGGAGAGACTGAAGGCTGAAAATGTGTGCGCGGCTGTCCTGGAGACTCTGTGCGAGGGCAAATGGAGCTGAGGTTTGTGACGTGGGGTGCTGGGTCCCGTGGCCCTTTCTTTCTTTCCCTGTACTCCAGCAGAGAGACCTACATGGAAAGAAAGTGTGTAAGAGTGACTAAAAGATGCACAAGGATGATGAATATGCAAGCAGTTCTGTCCTTCAGTATAATTTCTTAGTACACGCATGCATCATAACATTCACGTTCACATAAAGCAACACATGCATGATCAATTGATGTAGAATGACATCCATCTATAACTTCAATGAGTACGAGAAAGATACAACATGCATTATTACCCAACGCTGCTATTCAGAAAAACATCACACTAAAAGCCACCACATTAAATGCTCATATTAACCCAATCAAAAGCTATTTAATAAAATAAAGATGTGCATTTTTTCTTTCAGAGCTAAACAACTTGCAAAACTAACATCAGGCCATGAGAAAAGTTTAGGATTCTACACTCCATAAAGGCGAAGAAAAACCCACATACACATACAGACATATTCACCATGAGAATTGCTTTTAGATTAGACAATGAAAGCACTGGTGTCTTTGAATGAATACAACCCGCTCTGCAGCAGTTGACTATTTTTCTTTTTAAAATCAATTTGCTCAATACAGATGAAGGAGTACATCATCTGGAGATGCAAATGTTATGGACATGCACACTTCTAGATGGAGGCCACTTATGTGATATTCACCATGTTCTGCCCTGGCTTGAACTGGCCCCTTACAGCTAATGCCTGGTACCCAGACAAGCCAGCCAGCTGACTACCAGCACTCACCATGACCCTCTGCCTTGAGAGAAGGGTGGAAAGAAAGATTTTGCAAAAGTTTTAAGAGCAAAGAGGAGAAGGAGAGAAACGGAGCGAATCAAAGACAGAGCAAGAGTTTCATGCAAGATAGAGGACCACCCTTCACGATTTAAATGTATGTGAGAAAAAGGAAGGTGAACCGCTGAGATTTTCCCAAGCTTTTAGAATAGTTCTTTTGGGATAAACAGTTTGAGTTCATAGTCCAGCAGTTATTACTTATTATTACACCAAGTCAAGAAATATCCTCTGCTAACTACATCTGTCCCCAGATGTTCCCACAAATAATAATAAACTGAACATCAATATTTGTGAGATTCATTTCATCTGAACAGTTTTGAGGTGAAAGTCAAATTTGTTGTCACTGGATAATGATGATGTGGGAATTTATTATATGTAGGATATCAATTTATTAAATTAGAATTGTTTATTAATGGAGGATTTCTGAACAGAAGATTTCATTTAGATATATGTGGTATGGGGAAGATAAAAAGAAAAGAAAACATTTTATTTTGAAGTGACAAGTTAAAAATAGACCCTTGGAGGAAGATGCCCCAGTTAGGATATGTTAACATGGGGGTCATCTTATACCTGTAGTTGGGCAAGATGGTCCCCTTTTATCTATCTCAATGTATTTTTACAATATATTGATGATACATTACCATCATCCTGTACATGCTAAAGAAAAAACAAACTTGTAAATTGGAGAAACTGATGTGGCCGTAAGACTTGCCTTCTTCTTCTGTGGTGGATTGCTAGGGTGGGGGGATGTGCTGCTCTCTGAATATCCACCTCCAAACTGTGTGTCCAGATACATTGAGAGAGAGCCAGACCCCGCCTCCATCAGCAGCCCCTGGCTGCACATTGTGCTCAAGTCGGAGTCAGCCGTGGACAAACCTCCCTCTGATTGTGGGAAGTGTCGGTCACTTATAGGACCAGTGGGTAAATTGGCATTGAGGGGAGAGCAGGTGTAAATGAGGTTAAATTCTGTCCTAAAGGCCTGTACTCTGGCCTGTGCCTCACTGGCATGTGAAACCAAGGAAGAGTCACATAGACTGGACACAACAGCTGAGCTGCGGGGAGTCCCACCACCAGATCCATTCAGAGAGTCTGGAGCAGCAAGTGAGAAGTCATCTGACACAGGAGCCGGGCTTCCCCGGCTTGTGGAAAAGTCAGGGAAGGCAGTGACCCGTGAAGTGAAATCTGGTCGCAAACAGGGCTGAACAGAAAAAGAAAAAAAAAAGGTTTAAAAAGTGAAATTATTAAAACACAATGAAAAACTTTCCTTATGAACATTCCTTGTATTTTAATGGGTAACACTTTTCAATTGGGTCCCATTAATTAATGTTAACACATTACCTAACAATGACCAAAACATTTGTTACAGTTTTAATTAATCATGTTAGCTCAGGTCCATTAAACAGTATAACAGATGCAAATTTTTAATGGTTTTAAAAATGTGTTAATAAATGTTGACATTAACATTAACTAAGCTTAATAAATATTTTAGAAATATTTTTCACCGTTAGCTCATGTTACCTAATGTAGTTAACTAATGTTAACAAACAGAACCTTATTACCGATAAAAATGGTAAATTCTATCAAGCCACAATTAATGTAATTCACTTTTCTTTTTTTTTTAGTTTATTTGTATAGCACATTTCAGTGGCTAGCTTCAGTTTTCAGTTTGTGGTAGCCAAGGTTATTTTCATAAACGAAAACTAAAACTAAGACGAGAACGATTGATGAAAAAACAATTTCGTAAACTGAAATTTTTTTTTTTAGTAAAAAGGCTTGACTGCTTCATTTTGTTGTATATTTGTATAATTTTACCATTTAATCAATCTTAGCATGCGTTAATTCTGTGTCGCTAGACATTTGCCTATAAGGCTAAATTATGCCTTTCCTAAGTCTTTCTTTGGCCTGCACAAAATAAAAACTAAACTAAAACAGCAATATTAATGAAACTAATAAAAACTAAACTGAATTGTATAGCAAATTTGAAAACGATATTAAAATAAAACTAATTTAAAAATTCAAAACTGTAATAACCTTGGTGGTAGCTTCAGTTTAACTTTAAATAAATATATTTAGGCCTGCTGTTGATAATAAATGTTGTTTATAATGAATGCCTCTATAATTTGTGTTTGTTTTATACTTTTATTTTTTTTTATTCCTGTTCTTAATGCTGTTAAACTTAAAGGATTTTTTGTGGAGTAAGAATACATGTAAAATGTATGTTTTTAAATATTTAGTTTAATTTAGCAGTATTTTACATTACTTTTGAATGTAACAATAAATTGCCACTTAAACACCAATGCAACTTATACATGTTTGTTTTTCTCTCAACAATACACTTTTGACCTGATATGACTTATTTTCCAGTAAAAATGATAGATATATGCTTTTTGGCAGACAGTTTTCTTCTTAATTTTAGTCAAACAACATCATCAACACATCTTCCAAACTTAACCATGATATAATACAACCAAGCAATAACACTTCCATGTATGTGCGCACTGAAACTTACTTCTGGAGTCAGAGATTCTGATCTGTGCACAGGAGAGACCTCAGGAGAAGAGATGTTCTGTAAAAAAAAAAAAAAAAGTAATGTATAAAGCTATTATTTCTTCTATTACTACAGCAAATCTCTACAAGCTGCTGTATTGAGACAGAAGTCCATTTTGTGTGTGTGTGTGTGTGTTTTCATTTGTTCACCTCAAACTGTAGAGGCGTATTGCAGCGGCTGGCGGGCCGGGATGTGAGAGGAGAGTAGGAAAACATGGTAGCATTCAGCATCTCTATTTCCCCACCTAAATAAAGCGAGCAGGGAGTCATAAGCGAATGAAGAGGCGTTGTGGGAAGTTCAGAGGGCAGAGGTGGGGTGATGGGGGACAATGGTCGTAACAAGAGTTCAGAAGGTGGAGCTTCTGTTTCTGATGAACACTTCAATTTCCTCTTCTTAAATGGTCCTGCCAGCTCTGAACAAAGGGCAGTATCAAAAAATACTAGTTAAAACCCCAAATCTCTGATACCAAGGCACCTAATTCACATTCTGCTGTCTAAACAGTGGAGTACGAGCCATTACCAGGTTTAAACGGTTGAGAGCTGCTGGTGCTGCTGGTGTTACTCTTGTGGGAAGAACTGGACTCTGTTCCATCCTCCAACAGGCCAGATAACATGCTCTCATCCAGCGCTTGTTTCATCCACCTCTGCTCAGACAGACGTACACAAACTCATGCTATGTAGCCACAATAACAATAGGAGCCACAATACAAACTTAAATTGAGACTACCAAGTCTTTGGGCAATTCAGCTACAATTTAATCTACATCTTTAAAAAAAAAATCTACAAATTCATTTTCAGGCAAAATTCTAATGACACTGTAGATGTGTGTGTTCAAGTTAATTTACTTGTTCAGTAACTCATTCTAACCTTCTTGCAAGAACCATATGCAGGGTCAATCATAAAAGGTCGCCGGCGTCTTTCAGGGTTAAAGGGTGAACCAAAACGAACATAGTGTTTGGGGGCAGTACAGATGAGAGGTGAATGAGATAGTCCTGGCAGCATGTTGAGGGTGGTGGCGAGAACTGTAGGGTCAGTGGTGATGCGTAAAGGGCGTTCCACAGACTCCTCCACCCGCTCTGGAACCTTGTCATTTAACCACTCTGTCACCAGGTACTGTAAATATAAATATTACATTACAGCTCTGAAACACAGCTGACCACAGTCAAGTCACTTTTAAATAGAGTTTTAAACAATACAGATTATGCCAAAGCAGTTTTACAGTGTTAAACAGGAATAATACAACAACAGTACAAATGAATAATTTTTTTAAGTCACCATGAAATCAAAGAGGACATTTTTAATGGAATATTTGAGTGTTATGCACATCACACATGCACATCATTTTTGATCATGCGCCATTTTTAGCTCAATACTGGCCTACAATCCCTCTCCTCAAGCAACCTGTCACTCACATGAGATCGCAGCAGTTAGCAAATGACAATCAACCATCCAATCAATTCTAAACGGACAAAGTCCCGAGCTACATTTTTTCTTGTTTGAAAAGCCAATTTACATCACAATAGAGAAGAAAAAACAACTTCCATTTTATGACGATTTTAAAGTCACCACAAAATCGGCTATTTTTCTTTTTTTAATATTGCAGTTTTTTTTTTTTAAATAAATGTATCCACACATATCAATCATTATTTTTTTTTTTTATTCAAGTAAAATTCCCCTCTTGCAATGACATCTCTAAGTGTGCAAGGGTTGGACAACCTGTCAATCACGAGAGATTGCAGCAATAGCAAATGACAACAATCCAGCCAATTAGAGCAGTTTGCAGTTTGGAGAACAGGTAGAATTAATTATTTGCGTTAATTGTACAACACTGCAGTTCTCCTCATGACTTATGACAAGAAAAACATGATAATTACCCCAAGTATGTAAGATGAACTCACCTTTTTGGTTTTTGGGCATCTGACATTTGTCTTATTACCCATCCCTGAAGAGGTGGCTCCACATAGTTCTCCATCCTGGAGACTCCCACAGTTTGGAGCACCCTCTCCCTGGCCCTGCTCCCTGAGGCCTGCCCCTGCACTGCTCTCTTCACCGCCCACCAAAATTCCCTCTGCTGCTTGCTGAGAAAGAGCCTGCCGCTGTCTCCGAGCACGCTGGGCTGAACTGGAGCGGTACCTTGAGATGCGACTCTTAGGACGTGGTTTGGAACTGCGGGAAGTTTGCGCTTTAGGGGCAGGACTGGGTGTAGCAGGGGGCTTTTCAGAGTCAATATCTGTTGTTTCCTAATGATGACAATGAGACAGTGAACGTGTGTAAAAACACACAGCCATCATGAGCTAAAGCTAAAGTTGAGAAAAAGGAGAAAAAATTAACTACCACAGCAGCAAAGGAGGTGCGCCTTGTACTGACTCCTCCACCTGCTCCTGTATTTGGTACACTGTTTCCTGCTGTAAGTGAGGGCACTTCTGCCTCCCCTGCTTCCAGTTTGGTTTCTTCAGGTGTAGCCTGCGCTGTACCCTGACCACGTTTCTTTTTCCTCTCAAGGTTCTCAAACATGTGCATTATGGCCTCTGCCTTGCGTTCTTCACGAGACTGAAGGGGGCAAAAGGAATAAGGGGTTAATACGTTAAGTATAGGCCTATAAAATTCATATAGTTTTTTTTCCCAAATTCAGTTTTTTCCATTTTCATTTTTCTGGATTCTTCTTTTTTAGGTTTTAATTTTCCTGGATTCTGTTTTAATGGTTACATTTAATTTTAGTAAATCATGTCTAATTAATTGAAATCATGAAACTTACACTACATTTAACAATTATGTTTGACAAAAAAAAAAAAGTTTAACAAAAATATCATTTTTAGGGCCCTATGAAATTAGATTTCATGTTTTAAATAGTTTTTCATTTTAATTTTTCTGTACTGCATTTTAACAGTTTAATAAAATGTTCTTAATAAAAAAGCACATCTAAACAAATGAATTCATAAAACCTCAACAATTTATTAACATTTTTACAATAATAGGGGCCTATGAAATGTTGTCTTTATTAATTTATTATAATAAAATGAAGGCATAAAACATTAACAACTTAATTAATGTTTTAAAATGTAATCAAATGAAAACAACAATTCCCATTCTTTTTTAATAAATTAAACGGCATGTATTGATTCATCACTGTTCTGCTCTGATGAAAGCTTACACGTCTGTTTGGTATAAGAGCTCCATTTTCGTCTAACTCCTCCTCTCCATTCTCCAACGTCACTCTGTCCATAAGAGCATCCTGTAGCACAAAAACAAGATCAGCTTCATCATCATGTGAGATAATCATCATCATTATGCGGCAAAGCAGCTGCAAAAAGCAAGTAGGCATTTACGACTGTTTTTCCATGAACACACACCTCTGTATCGCTAACTCCCTGTGCCTCATTTGCATCTTCCAGCAGGTGGTTGCTTTCATCAGAAACACTGGTTATGAGCCTGTCCCCTTCCATCTCTCTGCGTCGGGCTCGTCTCCTTCGTGTTTCTGCTCCAGGCAGGGCAAAGTTTGAAGACTGGGGGGACAGCAGTTGAAGGGGGCGGAGATTGTGTCTCTGCACAGGACAGTCCTGATTGCCCTTATGACATGCACAATCCACTTTATAATTACTGTGGGAAAAATTAGAGAAAAAGTGTCAATACTCACAACTTCATATCACAGTTTATTTAGAATTAATAATAGATGCCAAGAAATTAATTTGAGTGACTAACCAGCAGCTAAACTCATAGTCAAAGCCGATTGTGACTTCCGAATCTTTTGTTATTTGAGCAACAGCATAGATACACAGGTGAATCATCCCCTCTGCTATCATGTGCCGCACCTGCGAGATAAAAGTAATATAATATGAATCAAATTTAGTCAGACTGTTACTGAGCAAAGAAACTATGAACAGACACACTCTATTTATGTACAAATGTACATATAGGTGAAGCAACCCTACTATGTCAACAGTTAGCAGTCAACAAATTAAGCACACCTCAGCATTGGGTGTGCACGATCTTCTGATAAACCGTGCATCATTGCCAAATGTTCGGGCATCCACACACATCTCCACTTCGTTGAACTTGGAGTAAAACAGGACAAATGGATATGGCCTCGAGTGGAGACAACAGAAGGAATTAGGAAAGACTCTCAATTTACAATCTATGTTTTACAAACAACATACATTTGACTAATTTTACAAAATTCACCCTAATTCTAATCTAATTATTAAGATAAGATCAACTAGATGTTCAACAATATACACAGATGCAATCACAAATACACTCTTACTTTTTGAAAAAATGTCCGTTGACTTCAAACTGCTGTCTGAGCATGACTTTGCCTCTATACTCAATGATGAGTGTTTCAGGGTCCAAATTCCGTGCAGCTCTGAGAATCTTCCTATGTTTCTGCACACGTGTTACACGACCCAGCTGTAACTACACACATTAAATCCTTGTTGGTAATTGTTGTAAATAATAATAATTATTAAATGAAAATAGCACAGTACATTTGGAAACAACTGTTTTCAATTCGGTAAAAGAAAATCATTTTACAGATTTTATACATTTTTAAAGCCATTAAAATGAAGACTGTGAATACATATATACATACATATAATATGTATATCACAGATTAATTTCAAATATTATAACAGAGTAACAGGCAGGGACACACAATTGACCATATGCACGGAGCGTTCTTTAGAACTTCCGCATAAAGATAAGCCAGCTCGTAAACTTCCGGTGAAGTGCCATTTGATGTTGTGGAATATATAGACCAATTTCAGTGTTTGCAAACAGTGATGACGTTTTTGTGGGCGGAGCCTATCTGGTGGCAGAAAATGAGTTTTAACGTAGCAGTCTATTCAAGCCATGGAATAAAAGAATAAAAAATTAAATTTTGAGTTTATATTTCAAAATTCTGACTTTTTTCTTGCAATTCTGAGATTATATCTCACAATTCTGGTAAGAAAAATCAACTCATCATTCTTTCTTTTTAGTTTATAATCCCACACTTCTGGCTTTTTTTCCTCAGACAAACTTTTTTTCAACAAAAATTGTTGACTTGAATAAAGTTATAAAGTCCGAACTAGGAGATATAAACTTGCATTTGCAAGAAAAAAAGTCCGAATTGTGAGATAAAATAGGTAAATGTTATAGGTTTAAAATAGTATTTCATGCATGTATTTCAACTGTAGGGCTAATACAATATGTCCCCTATATGAATATTATATAGACCTATTTTTTAAATCAAATTTATGCTTTAAATCAGTGTTTTTCTGCCACCACTATGCGCGCGCAGCTGCAAGTGACGCAACAGTGACGTCTACTCCAAATTGGTCTATAGGTGGAGACTCCTGAGACCCTCACAGAAACCTGGCAATGACTCGCGGCTCAATTTAGCAGATTCACTCACGTAATTTTTTACACTCGTGTATGTCATTCCTGAAACTGCATACATGGACGTTTGGTCCTCTTAGACAAACAAAACTTTTCTTCAAATTGTGAATGGATTATGTAGAGAAAGGGCGCTCCCCTTATAGCACAGTTGATTTTGACAGTTGACCGGAAATGGCTGAGCTGGCTTATCTAAAACCAGGAAGCAACTGTGCATATAGTCAATTGTGTCCTTAACTCTTGCTGATCAGTAAAATAGTGTTATTTGCAAGATTAACATACTCAAGCCATGTTTTCCAGTGACAGTTTTTACACTGACTATGTGAGTCCATTGAAGATTAATATTTTATAATAAATATATGATATCTTATCTCTACAATTAGTTCCCGTTCTTGAATTTGATTGGCTGAGTGACATTCCAACAGTGCTGATATAAGCAGTGGGACTTTTAATTATTTGTGTTCCAGATAAGCTGTCAGTCTGTATGTTACTGGTGGTCATGTGACCCTTTCTGCGGGTTATACTGTTACACCATTAGTTGGTGACAACCTGTCTTTTAAAGCAAATCATTGACTCTGATTATTGATCCATTTAGGAACAAAACACCACTAATGCTGTGTTGCTCATGCTTTGGCTTTGTTCGGAATCATTTTTACTGGTGCACCCCCCTCCCCCCTCCCCATTGTGTTTTATAAATACTATCTATGACATTTAATACATGATACAGTCTTAAAGTGAATTTAAGACTTTAACACTTTGATGAACTGTGAAACCCATCTATACCTGCATTTGCGCGCCCAACACAGTGTTGTTGCAGGCTAGTTCTGTTCTATTAATGGTGTCCATGGCGACAGTAGATGGGGTGGGGGACGAGTTGCCGTTGGCACAGTAGTGATTGAGGAGGTTCTGTACATCAGCACTGTACTGGTTAGACAGAGCTTCCTCGTACTGGTCCGTCCACTGGCGAATTCGTGTCTCCCATCCTTCTGTTGTATTCTCATCCAGAACACTAGCCTCAGACGCGGAGTTCTGCAACAATCAGAGGGTGTATTTGATTAAAGATTCATCTGGTTAATATTAGTCTATGGTAATGAACAGTACTAAAGCTTATTTCCAAAGAAGAGGCGGATCAAATTTTTTTTTTTGCATATTTGTGTCCATACCTTCATTCTCATGGATTTTCTGGAACCCTCTCTGTAAGCCTGAAATGAGAATATAAATTTTTATTATCATATAATATAGAGAGGATGGGAAAACTGAGAAAAAGTGAGACTGAGTTACACACGATTCAAACTCCATGAACATGTTCACTTGCTCTGACAGAAGTGACAATTCAGCTACAATTCAGACTTTTCACATTTGCCGTCTATGTCATGTGAACAGGATTGTGCGTGTATGTGTTATACCTTAACCTTCTTGGCTTTAGGAGTAGTGCGTGTTTTCTCTGTGCTCTTCTTTCTCTTCTTAATTTTGTTGGGTTTGACTCTTTTGACAGTGAGAGTGATGCTAGTGGGTGTGTGTTGAGTGGCCGTGTACGACACAGCAGAGGCTGACATGTCCTCATCTCCACTCTCTGTTGCACTGCTCTCGCCCACTGTAAAGGCAGATATAAATCAAGCTCTAGGCCTGTCACGATAACAACTTTTTGTTGTGCGATATATTGCCCCAGAAATAATTACGATAAGCGATATTATTTGTCATTTTAAAGACCATTTTATGCCACTGAATATATAATCATAATGTAACAGCATAATAATGCAAGAAGGCCTACACACTTTCAAATTACAACAAACTTTTCATTTTTAAGAATTTAGATCATGGAAATTAAGTATCAAATATACCTTAAAAAACCTGAATAAATAGTACAAGCTCAAGACTCAGCATGTCTAACCATCAGCACACGAGAGAGCATGGTGAGGTTGAGACAAAAACACACACACACAAAAACAAAACCTTAATTTATCCCTCACTGTGATAAATTTAGAAATATAAAAACATACCCAGAAAAACAACACTTATTGTTCAAAAACTGTCAGAAAATGCAACAGATGAAAGAAAGGTATTACTGGGAAGAGAAGTAACAAATGAAATCAGCCACTGCTCTGATCATCATATTCAAGAGTTGTCCCCGAACATCTGTAACCATATTCTTAACAGTCATTGAAGCCTTGTTGAATATATCTATTGATTTATGAATTAAGTATAACTGTTTAACTGTAATGCATTTGGTTTTATTGTTACTATTAGTGTTGAATAGTAACGGACAGATGTTATCTGGATTATGTACGGTTGATAAATCTTTCTATCCAAATTATTGTGGGCAAGAGGTTCTCCAAATTTTTACAGTGAGTTTAACTTTCACACATCATCTTTCTTTATCCATCAAAACTATTAAAACTATCAGTTAAATATTAAAACTTAAAGGGGACATCGGATGCCCATTTTCCACCTGCTGGTATGACTCTTTAGGGTCTTCATGAAATGTCTGCAACATACTTTGGATAAAACTCCTCAATGATCGTGTAAAACAACACCCTTTTCACCTTCTCAAAAACAGCTCTGTTCACAGCGACCCGTTTCAGTGCATGTCTCTTTAATGATAATGAGCTACTGCTCACTCCACCACTCTCTTCCATGGGGTGTGTAGACACAATACACATGAAGTGCTGCCATGGACTCCGTATATGGCTCGGAGATGGTCATATTTAAATAGATAGCTATCTACATACAAATCGGCTGCAAATTGAAACAGCTTTCTGGATGACAGTTTCAGACTCAGACAGCCCATAACAAACTGGCTGTGTGTGGTTTTTTTTCAGCTTTTCTGAGCTGGCAGACACGCCAGAAACCTAACTAAATGCAAAAAAAAAAATACTAAAAAAGTTAAAGGGGTCATATGATGCTATTTTAAAGATCATTATTTTGTGTATTTGGTGTAACAGAATATGTTGACATGCTTTAATGTTCAAAAAACACATTATTTTTCACACATGTGACGACCCCGGGCTGGACTCCGCTACGTCCACGGTGAAAGCCGATCCGGTGATCCACAGCGCAAAGTTGTTGTATTTCCTCAGCAACCAGCACGGATCAGCTCCAGGCATGACGAAGCGGATATCGTCCTCTTTTGGAAGGCCAAACAAAGTAGTTTCGCTTTCACAACGAAACACACAGCGACTCCACAACATGGCAGCGGCGGCAACAGCAAGAATTAAAGTTACGCCTTCTTTCTTTGCGTGCACATTTGGGCGGCATTATGCAAATATTTCCACATAGTGACGTAGGTATGTGGGGGCGTGTTAGAACGAGCCGTTTTAGGTAGGTGTGGTTGACTCTTAACTTTTATAAAGAATATCTCTTTGGATTTGAGACTTTAGTCTATGCAACTTTACAGATCTTCCTTATGCACCAAGAGCTTATAACACTTCAAAGTGAAAGCAAAACTTGAAATCGCATCATATGACCCCTTTAAAATTTCATCCGATGTCCCCTTTAAATGCTGAGACAAGGCTTTATCAAGTCAACATGAAAGTATGCCATGACAAAGTTTTCCTGTATAAGCATAGAACCAAACTGAATCAACATCAAACTGATTTAAGCTGAATAACATCACATGGTCTTCTGTGGAACTGCTTACAGCTGAATTGAACTTGTTTCATAGTTAATGAGCTTTACACAGACATTGAACTGAACTGAATAAACACTGAACTGACTGAATGACGACACTATTGTCTTGTTAGAGCTGCTTTACAGCAGAGTTTGAATTTCTCTCATATTTGATGAACTTTGCATCACTGATTCTCTTATTTTTTCCATTTATTAATGTGACGCTACTTTGAAAGAATGAATGAATGAATAAATAAAAGTGACTTGACTATATAGTTTTATTGCCAATACTGGTACCTTATTTATTTTACATTCTTATTTACACATTTTTCCTGGCACAGTTTTTATTGTGTTTATTGATGATTTGGCAATATTGAAAACACATAAAACGATATTTTTGAAAAAGTACTTTGAAACTAAAACTGAGAAGCTAAGTGATCCAGAGTGAGTAAGATCATGTTGATTATCATATAAGAGAGTTTTACCTGAAACATTCTCTGCTTTTCTGTGCTGCCCATCCAGCCCTTTCTTCTTCTCCAGACCCCTGCAACAAGAACAGTCCTTCAGTTCACATTCTCTATCCATTACAGCAATAACTAATTGCCATAACTCGGAGTGAAGCTATTGGTTCTTATAAAGGTGAACCACTGCCGTGATAATTTAGCCAATTTACATATACAGAGAGCTGATTTAAGGCCTAGGCATTTGAGGCTGGACAAACTTTTGTTTGTTTGTTGTTTTAAGACGTTAAAAATTAAACTATAGACCTCTGCAAAAATGTAAAATTGTCTCTCTACTAAAGTGAATTCAGTTTGATGGCCATTTATTTGTTTGTGAGATCAAAAATAAAAGTTTCACCAACCAATAAGATCATTAGCTTAGGGGAACATGTTGACATTTCCCGTAATCATCGGTTATATTTCAGTGATGGACTGTATTTGGCATTAAATCAAGTGAAATCAGTATTTTCTGAAGGGTTAAAGCATGTGTATTTTACTTTCTTTGGGTGTGCGAACTGTTCTCAGACAGTGACGAAACTGTCATTTTCAGTGTGAAAATCTGCTTGTGATTTAGATACCACTAAAGCACAGTAAAATCTGAAATTAAATATTCAGATACAAATCACCCACCTGCATCTCTCACACTTAATGAGAAAGCCATCTTCCATTAGACGGCACGGGCACCAAGAAGGTTGAATTGCGCCTTCCACCACCTCCTCCTCCTCCGAAGAGCTCTCACTGTCAGCAGAGTTGTCTGGATCATTGGTGGGGAAATAGGGTCGCGATCGTCCCAGTGTACCATTGCGTTCCGTATGGGAGAAAACGGTCTGGGAGAGTGGGGAGGCAGGAGGGGTGGGAGGGGGTGGAGCTCCATAGTTATGATCCTGACAACACACAATGGAAGACTGTTGCATCTTCAAACAACGGTGTTCAGGCACAACAAAAGGGAAAACGAAAGAGAGAGGGGGAAGAGAATGAAAGGTGGGGAGCAGGGAAAAGGGGTAGGAAGAAAGAAGAGGTGGGAATGAAAAACAAAAATGTGGCATTCAAAAGTAAACAATATTTAATATAGCTAAGAATGTTTTGGCTAAAGTATCTTAATTAAACTACAACCATAAAACTAAATAAACTTAATTTAAGTAAACGTTATTTTAAAAAAAATGAGGAACCGTACGGCTTAAGACAAATTGCTTGTGATGTTTCTTATTTGAAAGTTGCCTTGGATAATAACATTTGCTAAATGATTAAATGCAAATGTAACTTATGTCCAGGTTGATTTGCAGTTCTGTTCAAGTCAGGTTTTTGACTTTGTGGCTTTGGCTGTTACAATAAACTCAATTTAGTTCATGGTAAATTCACTTCAATTTTATACTGTGCGCCAAGGCTAGTGGAACTGAAATTATAAATGTATCATAATGCACAAGGTTATTTAATATGATTCAGCACCATGCATGTAGGAGCTAAGTCTAATACTTTAAGCTACGGAGTTGCCAGATCCCGGAATAATTAGGTTGACGCGCTTACTTTGTTTGAGGTTCCGTTGTTTTCTTCCTTATTGCATGTCTCCATAAGGAACAAGAAGACCATTCTTCTGTTGCATCAACATACACAGTTTATTGGTTCCACAAAACACCAATGTGAATAATGTCCAATTCAATATCCAATACATACACCAAAACAAAGTTTACAATGTCCAGCAGTTTCGCTCTTGTCGTGTGTTGCGCCTGTTGCATGGCCCTGCACTACATTGCTATGCGTTGCGATGTGGTCAAAAACCTTTTGCCCTTCCAGGTCAAACGCCTACCTACAGCAGTAGGAGGGTTACCTATATACTAAAATCTTGTAACGGTCACAGTGCCACTCAGTGGTCAAAATGAGAGTAACATATCACCTTATTAAACACATTTTGGCTCCTACACCCCGACCCCTAATTGTTAATGGTGGACAAACATAATTCAAATACAATAAAAAGAAGGAGCCAAAACATTATCATACACTCAGTTAGAAAAACAGTCTTATTTAAACTTCATGTAATAGACAAAGCTTGGTTATTGGTCTTTTAATGATGCTGGTTTTGGTCTGCAACCTCACACAAACGTACCAGACCACGCTTATCTGAAAAAATCTCTAGGTCGTTGCCAAGAGCCCAGTAACTACGAGGAGCCGAAGAGTCTATAATTACTGTCTCCAGCAACCAAACTCCTTTTCTTCTGATTCCACTTTTGCCTCTCTTGAAGCACAGGCAGGTATTCCCGTAGCCATCTTTTCCAGAACAGATCTGGAAGATATTGCACCTGTCTCCATCGTCGTCTTGTATACTGGTCATGAGGTTCAAACACACCAGGTGGTAAAGCTTTCAAGAGAAGATGTTGCCAAGAGCCCAGTAACTACGAGGAGCCGAAGAGTCTATAATTACTGTCTCCAGCAACCAAACTCCTTTTCTTCTGATTCCACTTTTGCCTCCCGTACCCATCTTTTCCAGAACAGATCTGAAAGATATTGCACCTGTCTCCATCACCTTCTCATACACTGGTCATGAGGTTCAAACACACCAGGTGGTAAAGCTTTCAAGAGAAGATGATGATTAGGCGTGAGAGGCTCCAGGTCATTAGGATCGTAAGACAGCTTGGTATTTTGTCGATCATTCAAAATGGATTCCACTTCACAGAGAATTGTGAAGTCCATCAGCATCTAACCTTTGTTGACTTACAACAGAGCTGAGAACCCTTTTTACAGAGTGTATCATTCCTTCCATGGTGAAACAGCTGGTGGATTAAAACTCCAACAAATTCCAACCTGTGACAACACTCCTTGAATTTTGTCATGTTTCAACGTAGCAAGAGCCTCCTTCAGTTCTCTTTGTGCCCCAATAAACTTAGTACCATTATCAGATCTTAGATATGTCACCTGTCCTCTCCTGCTAATAAAATGCCGTAACACATGAACTTGCTACCTCAAGATGGATAGCCCTGCTTGCCATACAGGTGAATGCTACTCCATCTTTTACAGGTTACTCTTCCCCTCTTTACTTCCATTGGTCCAAAGTAATCTACTCCAGTGTTGGTAAATAGTGGTAAATCAGGAAGGATCCTCTCCTTTGGAAGATCTGCCACCTTTTGTTCAGTTGCTCTTCAATTATGGCGTCTATAAAAGCCACACCCAGAAATGATCTTCCTGACAGCCGAGTGGGAGTTAGTAATCCAAAATTTCCTCCTAGCTGTGGACAAAGAATGACTTCGTCCACCATGACCCAGATTTTCAGAAATGTCCTCACTGAATTTCCTTTGCTGACAAACAGCGAACGATGGCTTTCTCTGCTCCCAATAGATTATCCAGTGTCAAGACAAGACTCTTAGGTGTCGCTGTGACTCTTGATTGCTCAGACTGTATGCCATTATCTTTTGGATTCTTTGGTTCTTTGGATGACCAGCATTTGTATCCTTCTGCTTCTTTCTCAAGCAAATTCTTTCGAACAAGATCATTTTCAACTTTAGAAACCAGGTGACTTATATTTTGAGCCTCCTCCACTCAGAAAAGTAAGCAATTAGCTGGTCAGTAGGATTAAACACTTCATTCGCACTAATGAGGTTTACTGTGATTTCTAGTTTGATCCCCGTTTCATCAGAGTCTATTGAGATTCTTTAGTGTGCCTATAGGCCAATACTCCTGCAACCACAAGGCGGCTGGGACCTTCAAGCCACCAAATGTTCTTCAGAAAGTCTCTGACCTTTCCTCTTGATGAGTCTTCAGCTGGATTGTCCTTAGAACTGACACATCTCCATTGTGAGAGTTCAACTCTTTCTCTAATGGTTGTGATCCTGTTGGTCGCAAATGTACGGAAACGCTTGTCTTCATTGTTGATGTACTTCAATACTGAAGTACTGCCAGTCCAGAACACTGAAACGTCTATCTGGATTTTCAATTCTTCTTTTAACATTGCGTCTACCTTAGTAGCAAGCACAGCTGCCATCAACTCCTAATGGGAAATGGTTACAGCCTTCAGTGGTGTCACTCTGGCTTTACCAAAAAGAAAGGCAATGTGAATGTAGTTCTCATGATTAGACATTCTGATATATGTCACTGTGCCGTATCCATTTTCACTGGCATCCTGCAAAATGGTGTAGTTGAGTGTGCCTAAGTTCTTCAAAATCCCCTGGCTTAATCCATCTGTCCACAGTGAATGCAGCTAACAACTCCAGATCTTCCAACCATCTTTTACACTGGCTTAAATTGCCCTGTGGTATGGCACCATCCTGTCCACAACCTCTCCTGCAAAGTTCCTGTTGCATCATCTTGGCAGACAACATGACTAGCAATAGGAACCCCAGAGGATCGTACAGCTGGTGATCGAAAGCATGCCAAGTCTGTTAAGAGACTGATGTTTTACCTCCAACTTGAATTGGAATGAGTCCATTTCCACACACCATTGTAGGCCCAATGCTCTTTCAATTGGAAGTTCATCTCTATCTAAATTTCAACTCTCAACTTTGGCCCTTTGCCCCACTGAGACCCTTTCTGACACAGAGCAAAAAGAGCCTTCATCATCTTTATAGCTTCCTCTTTCCGTAGTTCAACTCAACAAGCAGTCATCCACATAGAAATTCTGCTTGAGGGATTGAGTCACATGAGATGGAAAATCAAATTGATTGTCATCTGAAGTTTTCCTCAGTGCATAACTTGCATAGCTTGGAGAGGAAACTGCATCAAATAGATGTACATTCATCATATACTCCACAAGTCTTTCAGAGATGTTTCCATCTGGCCACCAAAGCAAACGAAGCAAATTTCTGTCTTCTTTAGCAACCTTCACTTGATGGAACATAGACTGAATGTCACCTATAAAAGCTATGGGTTTCTGTCTGAAACGAGTGAGAACTTCAAGAAATAAGCTGGTAAGATTAGGACCTTGCAGAAGTTTGTTGTTCAACAATGTTCCCTGAAACATTGCTCTACAATCAAACACTACACAAATAGACAATTTTCTTGGATGGTGGACACCATGATGAGGGATGTAACCATACTTTCCCAATTTCACAGTGCAGCTGTTCTTGAGGTACTTCTTCTGCACAGCCCTTGCTAATGACATCTATGTATCCTGCACATTCCTGGTGAAAACCATGGTTGTTGAGAAACTTTTTCTTCAAACCAAGGATCTGTTGCTTTGCCAGATTGCTTTTAGGCAGATGGACTTCTTTAGTCTTAAAAGGTAACTTCAAACAATGCTTCCCATCTTGACATACCTCTGACTGCTTCATGATTTCCATAAACCTGATGTCCTCCCTCGACATTTCTTTCTTCACAGTTCTTTCATTAAAGTCATGATTGTATGGATTGATTAACATTTCCTCCAATCTGCACACCGCAATCCTATTCACTGTAGCAGTTGGAGGCTCCATATCTAGTGCACCAGTTTCCATTCAGTGGACCATTGACAACCCATCCCAACACTGTCCTAACAGCATATGAGCTAGTCCCATAGCTGTTTACTATCTCCCAAGGTTCCAACATCTTTGGAGCATTGGTACCAATCAGCAAGTCGACATTTGCTTTTATGTTTGGGATGTGCACCTTTGATAGGTATGGAAACTTCAGATGATATCAAGTTGTCAGTACCTACTGGCATTTTCTGCTGTGTGAGAACCTCAGAGAGATGAAAGAAGTTAATGTCATCCAGACTAGATACTTCCAACCCAGTCAAGAGTAAGCTGGAACTATGGCTTGTTGCCCCATTGTACTGAGCAGAAACGTGACCCGTTTACCTGAAATATTCAGCTTCTGTATAAGCTGTTCTGAACAGAATGTAGCTGAACTACCCGGATCCAAGAATGCATATGTTTGTGATCTTGTTTCCTTTAATGGATTTAAATTGTACTGGGAGAATGGACAATGCACATAGGTCCTTACGGGCCCCTGTATGCCCACATGTTTTTGCAAGAAACTAATTTGTTATCCAATGATTACGGTTTCACAGCTGCTGATTGCCCTTTGATGTGAAGCACCGTAGGGTGAGTTTGATGACAAACTTTGCAGGTTAAATGCCCTTTACATTGTCTCCTCATGTGCCCAGTACACAAGCATGCAAAGCAAACTCCCTTTTCCCTGAGAAAACATATCTTTTCCTTATGCTTTTGTTTTTATTTAAACTGATCACACTCCTCCAATGAGTGATTATTAGAACAGCATAGGCAAACAACCATGTCAGTCTTCCCCCGAGTCTGATTTTGAACTCCCAATTACTGAACGTGAGTCTATGTTTGTTACCGTAGAAGCAAAAGTATTTCCCTTCATTCTTTCCTTAGGCTGTGACTTAAATCTGGTCAGTGTCTTTGTTCAAGTGACACCAAACAATGACTCCTGAATATCGCCAAACAGAGGGTCAGAAAGCAATTTTGAAATAACACTTCGCATGTTTGCAGGCATATCCAGTTCTTGCATGTACTGGAGCTCCTCCATTACATTGCAACATCCACACAAACATAAAGCACTGCAGTGATTTCACATCGTCAGATTTCACGGGTCTCCAAGCAAAAGCTTTTTCAATTTAAGCAGTAGCAATTTTATATTAATTTCCAAAATGTTCCTGTAAAAGACTCTTTGCTACTGTGTAACCACGCCATATGTTGACAACTACACAACAACTCTCGTAAATTGTTCTAAATAGTACAAACAATCTGCCTTACTGGCTTTTCCTTCCACACCGTGCTCGAAGACTTTTATAAAGGTTCTGTATTGAAGAGAATCCCTGTCAAATATGGGAATATCTCATGATGGCAATGACATTGAATGCTGCTGTTGAACCAAGGCAGTTGTGATCTCATTTTGCCTATGCATTATGGTAAGTATATCATTAGATGGATTCTGACCAGTTGCAACATAGTATATAGATTGCTTGTCCTTTAATTGAGAAGTTGTATGCTGTGATGTTCCATGTACAACTGTTGTTTGCCATTGTTTATTAAATCCATACTGTTGGCTTGTAGCAGTGTTAATCCAACTCTCACTTGTGTAGGGATTTCATATACAGGACACAGATATGCCACTGAATCACCATCATGAGGCTTCGAATTAATCTAATCAAGAGATACCACAGAGATCTTTTGTATCAGGACTGAAAAGCCCTTTCACGACATATGGATACCTCGTGATCGTGAATGTATAGAACTAGTATATCCAGCAGGAAAAGGATGAGTAAATTAACTGATGCCCTCAGGCCCGCGAACACGGGATCTATACCGCGTGACTGCCGCATGACCCATTGAACATCTGCTTTCTGCCCTGACTGAAATCCCTTTTGTCACAGACAAAGAAACAGAGTGTACACAGACAATCATTGAAAATCATTGAAAGTATCGGAGCAACTATATTCACAAATAATATGTTTTATGTCTTAAATATGTGTGATGTGTTATTGAAACCATGATATCTTAATCGCTGCTTTATAACTTTTCTTTTTAGTTAATTACGATTACTGTGTATGCAAAATACCTGTTGTTTGAGTTTGAATGAGAGCTTGTTTTATTCACAGAACATTGGTGTAAGTGAATAATTGATATTCAGCATCATTTTCCGGTGATGATAGTTTTATAAGAAGTTCTCAAAAACTTGCAGAAATACTCGCCACAAACAGCATGTGATTCATGCATGATAAGGAACCGTATGGGGCGTGGATAAACCCCGCAGCCACCAGCTGATTGGACCACGACCAGTGGGCTGGACAAAAGTCAGCCTGCTTAAAATGGACACAACGCTCTCGCTCGTGGCTCGCTCGCTCACTCACTCTAAAGAACTTTGGCTTTCACCTTGGTGAGCGCTACAAGCGCTTCCCACGCCGTAACACCGCCCAAGCGAGACCATCTAAGAACTCAAACACTTCAGAGAAACACGATCTTCAAAGTCTTGCAAACTCAGGCTTTTAGCAGGACTGCTGAAGCCTCTTCCGTAACCCGGCAACCAACCACTCCAAGAGTTTTAGGTCGCACATCAACTATTTGGCCAGCTGATAGTAAACAGACACTTTATTGAAATGCTTTCCCTGCTCCAGATTTGTATTCCTGTGCCATAGGGTTTAACTCATGGCCAGATTACCTTTTCTTTCCTTCCTTTTCTTAGTGGGAATTCGTGACACTTGCAGATCCTTGAGAAGCTCTTTTTTGTTCAAAAACCTCTAACACTGCCAGCTTAGCAGTGGATGCAGCTAGTTCAGCCTCCAAATCAGGCTGTTCCCTTTTCTTCTCCTTTTTAACTGCTGCTCCTGCTTCTTGAGGGCATGCCTGTTCTTTAAAGCTGCAACACAAGCAACAAGTGCAGCTCTATTTACCTCTGCTTTTATCCTTACAGAGGATGTAGTGCTGTAGCTACTACTGCTCCTGCTGCTTTTTTTTAACGTTTACTACTATCAACATTTGGATTAATGCCATCATCATTAACATCACATTCTCTTACAAACACATTACTACCTTCATTACACAAAACCCATTGACTTGCATCAGCAATGCACTCATCATTAATCATCATTTTTGCTTTAAACCACATTTCATATTCTTCCCTTTCATCAGGTGGCAGTAAACCCAATACGGACTCATGCATGCTTTTTGCATTATCACATATCTCAATGAGCTCTTCAAGTGCGCTCTGTACCTGTAATTTGTTACCCTTCTGAATAAAACCTTGCAAGGATTTTCTTATATTATTTGCCTCATTCAGCTTGGCTTTTCTGACAGCTTGCAACTTATCTAATTTATCAGATAATGCTTTAAACGAAAGCTTTACCACGCGTTTTTCAGTTTGTACTTCCACATTGCTAACCACACCGTTTGATTTACTAGCAGCTGACACACCAGACCCAACAGTTTTATCTGAAGTTGCGTCGCGAATCTCCATAAGGTATAGACTATTTTTAATAGTTCGTTGCAACAGACAGTCAATACCAAAGTCTATTATCTGCCTGCATCGCGAACAGACATTTTAATGCATTTTTATTGTGCGCACAAAACTTAAAAGCCATTAAACAGTGTAGCGCTTCACATACCTCAGCCTCAGTGTGTTGGGCGCCATTAGATGATCTGCTGTTACTGTGTTCCTCAGCTGGCTTTAGAAGTCATAAATCCAGCATCGTGACATCCTTTATAGTGATAAATAACTGCAGAAGTACTCCCCAACACAGACGAAATCCATCGACTCCCGTTAACATCGCGTCCTCTTTGTTTTGTATCCAAACGTGTCAAAGTTTCCAAACAAAGTTCAACAAGCAAAGTTCAACAAGCCATGTTCAACAAGCCAAGGTTTTTGACGCGCTTACTTTGTTTGATGTAATGTTGTTTTCTTCCTTATTGCATGTCTCCATAATGAACGAGATGATCATTCTTCTGTTGCATCAACATACACAGTTTATTGGTTCCACAAAACACCAAATTGAATAATGTCAAGTTCAATATCCAATACATACACCAAAGCAAAGTTTACAATGTCCAGCAGTTTAGCGCTTGTCGCATGTTGGTGTCCCTGCGCTACGTTGCTATGCTTTGCGATATGGTCAAAAACCTTTTGCCTTTCTGGGTCAAATACCTACCTACAGCAGTAGGAGGGCTAACTATATACTAAAATCTTGTATCGTTCACAGCACCACTCGGTGGTCAAAATGAGAATAACATATCACCTTATTAAAACACATTTCGGCTCCTACATGCATTAATGAGGTGCTATTGGGTTACACATTGGCTAAAATGACAATATCACTTAATGGACCCTTTTCACAGACTGTGATATTGCATTTTAATGGTCATCAGCATCACAAATCCTGCAGTTTTTTATATTTTTAAAAAATGTTAAGTACATTCATAACACTTTGTATTGTATTACCTTTGCATCAGATTACAAAAAACTAGTTACCACTACTGTGAGGTTGTTTCTAATACAGCGTCTATGGGAGTGAAGGTAAATTTGACATTGTTTTCTCTTCTGACTGCCATTATCAGTCTCTCTTTCCATTTTTTTCCTCTTTTTGAAAGTCATGAAAACATTATTGTAGAGTTTTTCTTTTTTAATTTGAGCAAAAGGGAATGCTAAAAAAAATATTTTTTTGTAGTCTCCCATTCACCGCTATAGAAATTTACCCAACTATGACGACTTCTGCTGCTGAGAAACCCGTAAATGTGAAAAAGGTCCATCCTTAATTTGTAAAAATTAAAAACAAGAATAAAAATCAACTTACAGCATAGGGAAGGCCCCCATATCCATGACTCTGTGCATTCCCACAGCTGCGACTTGAGTAGTTTTTCTCATTTACTGCTGGGCTCGCTTCAACTGACTCAGGACTGAGAGAAAGAAAGATTTTTGAGAAGCTGGCAAATAAAATGCTAGTTATATATGTAAATGTGGTTTTGTAAACTCCAGATGACTGCCAGAGACAGTGCTTAACACTAGTGGATCATCACAGCACCAGTCAGATAAGATAGACTAAGTGGATATATCAACAAAATCACGTCACAATATAAGCTGAGGGTTCAGAGTGACAAAAAACTATGGCGATCATCTGTAATTCACAGAACCCACAACTGTTGTTTCATTCCTCCTGCCCACCAGAAATAGTGCTAAGAACTAGTGGATGACCCATAACAAGACAGTCATAAGGAATGCCTCTCACTTGAAAAGTAATTAAGGTCAAACATATTGATCTGCAGAACTCACATGTTCAAATAGAAAAACTAAAATGATGCAATAAGCATAGTCCACTAAGGAAACTCCCTGCAAAGGTAATAAAGAGGAAGAGGCAGCTCTAGTGGAATAACAAGTGATTCCACTAGGCATGAGACACTGGGCCTTTCTACAGACTTGAGTGGTAACCTTCACAATCCAAATGGCCTCTGCTTTGACCTTTGAGGACCCTTAAAAACATCAGTGTTACAAACAAACAACTGATCTGTCTGAGACTGGTGGCAGCCAGAGAACAGATCCCAACCTGAAGCATAGCGTAATCATGTGGAGGTTGCTCTAGGGCTAGTAATGGAGTGAACAACAGCAGGTTCACAATCCACTAGAATAGGTGCTCTCATCCCTGTTCCTGGAGCCCCACCAAACAAAGCACATGTTTTCCTAAAAAAATGGACCTAGATCAACAGGTGGGGCCTCCAGGAACAGGGTTGAGAACCACTGTACTAGAAAAAGGTTGGACCCATTGCCACACTCAAGTTGTTGGAGAAAACCCAAACACAGCCATCCATTTAAAAGAAGATGAAATTTACAAATGAAGCTGCCCCATATTACCCCCTAAAAGTTTTAGGAGTAGAGGTAATATGGATCAGCAGGCCATCAAGGTGCCACAGAGTACTCTGTGCTTGTACAGGAAGATACTGTGTAATATAAAAGTGGGATATGGGGTAACTGAGTAGGACGTTTAGTCATTTAAGAGAAAGCAAATCCTGCCTCAGCTGGCTAGACTCCTTTTGTCATTGCAAACCATGAGCAACACTGAGTGGTCACTTCGGATGCGAAGTTCCACATCTGCCTCAGTGGACCTCTGCACTATATCTGAGTGAAGCCTCAATTCTCCTGTTTGAAACAAATTTCTGGAAAGAGAATCTGCTACCTGATTGTCTGACACTGGTTGTCAGAATTTCCAACCATTTCCACTATCAATTCACAAATTCAACCCTGCTCCTGGAGAGCTACCATGTTTTGCCACAATCACACTAGACTGAGCATGCAAACTCGCAGATTCAAAGTTTGCATTCTTTTAATTCAGCTAAGAGAGCAGAATTCTTCTATTGGTCATATGTCTTCGTGTGATATGAATTTGCAAATGAGAGTTCATCAAACCCAAACTTGAAGGCAGCTAAATTTGCATGATCTCATGATCTTGCGTCTCCTGCATTCGCATGCATATGAAAGTCAATGGAATGAAAAGTGTAGTGTGACCTTCCCTTTTAACTCCAACTCTGATCAAACACACCTGAACCAGGTCATCAAGGCCATGCAGTATCCCTATAACCTGTAGAAGTAGCCTATTCCGTGCTGCAAACACTAAACCAGAATTGGATCTGTAAAATGCTGGTTTCCCAAGCAATGTAACAGGTTGACAGACATTGTAAGAGAATTCAGAGGTATCCCAAAAAATATGCTTTGTCTCATTTACAAATAGACCCAGCTTTTGAACATGTTCCAGAAACAGCCTGGTGTTTCAGATAGCTTGCTGTCTGTAAAGGCACATTTAACATCTCACACGGATTTCTTTTGGTTCTTTTTGCCTTGATATTTTACAAAGCAACAAATCAAAACATCATCTGTTAAGTAAAAAGTACAAACAAATGATTCCCTTTAAGTGACTCCAAATTAAGATTACTGTCTTCTGCAGATAAAGTGGAGTATCACAAAACAGCCATGGTGCACATGCACTACAGAAATAAAACTCAAGACTAGTGGACAAGCTGCATCAACATGGTTAACACCAGCTATGGCTGACCGTTAAATCAAATTATTTTTAATACATAAAACAATTATAAAAACTACTAAAAACTTTGATATATAAAACGATTATAAAAATATTATTGTGTGAAATGCTGTTAGGCAATGATGCTCTTATTTTGCCTTGTTTTAATCCAGGATAAATTCAAATGTATCAATATATTGGACTCAACATAAGTTTAATTCATATAGTGATGACTATGTAGTCATTTAATCGCAATTAAATTTCTGTATTCATAATTATGTTAGATAGACCTACCTGAAAAACTGAAATTTCATTTGTATCTTTTCAGTTGTATTTAGTTCTCCTGTTGCTTGTAATTTGGTTCTTTGTTTTTATTAGTGACTGTATGTCATTACTTCTCTTCAATAACTGCAGATTTTTATTTTTACTTAGATTAGTCTAATAATTCATCTCATAACATTGTACTGTAGTTATATTCTGATCAAATGCAAATGATTGTCTTTTGTTTGAAATGTTATAAACAACAGCTACACTAATTCATCTCCATTTGCTTTTCTGTTTCTGCATTCGAAGGATTCTCATCCTTAGGTGTTCATTGTTTCTGATTAAATTAATATGTGATGTTAACTAACCACATGACTTGTATCTTAACTGTAACTCTTAACTGTAATGCAAAAACATTACATTTCTGTAAAGCTGCTTTGAAACTATACGTATTGTGAAAAGCGCTATAAAAAAAGTGACTTGAAATGAATTGAATAATACTAGTTACTGCTGTCGCATCTGAATTGTTACCAAGAATGATATCTAAAATTTCGGCATGATAAAAACCTTATTTCCTGTAAAAAATAAAAAAATAAAAATAAATCATATGACATCTAACCATCATGAAATAAAATGACTCATTGTGATATAAGACTTTCATGTTTAAATAATAATAACTGTGTGTCAATATTGACCAAAATATTTGCAAACAGCACCATCTCCAGCACCTCCAAAAAATAGACACATAATAATCAACTTCAAAAAGCTGCAGTATGAAAAATCTCTAGAAGGCATGAAAGCAAAAGAGCCTGAGTGCTGAGCTAATGCAGCTTATAATTTTTGGCTTGTTGTCACAATGATGTTGTTGGCATATTCTATCTGGCTGGTGCCACAATGATCCACTAGTGTTTAGCACTGCCTTTGGCAGTCAGGAGGAATGAAAAAGTACCTTGTTCAAAAGAAAAGAGGTGGTGGTTATGGAAACCATGTTCAAATTGATTGGATAATAATCATGTCCTCTTAGTCTTTCAACTCAGCCAATCACATTTTTTAGGATATTTTTAAAACAAATGTGATCCAAAATAAATATAGTGTGGGGGAAGATCAGCACATCATCAGAACATCATGAAAAAAATTTATGTCTAAACATTAAACAAAGAGAAATCTTATCTTGAGTGTTTGACATGGCACCTGTGAATTTTTTGTATTGATTGGCTTGTGATTGGCCATTCAGCATGAGCAAGTGACTCAGTACATTTTTAAAGGGGTCATATGATGCTTTTTTAAAGATCATTATTTTGTGTATTTGGTGTAACAGAATATGTTGACATGCTTTAATGGTATTCCCAGCTATACAGGCTAACATGCAAGACAAAATTATTCAGTTTATTTTTCTCAGTCTAAACTAATGCATTTGCCTTCACAGAACTCCACTGTGAATTTCATATTTCTCTCTTAATGTAACAGTTACTCTTAACCATGGAGAAAAAAATGCACTAAATAAACAACCCTCACTACTCCTTTTCCACCAAAATGGTGCATGTTCTGTGCCTGACACCATTCTTGGCCAGTGCCCAGCCGGCTACTTACTCTGTGTTTCCACAGGCTTGACATAACAGGTTTTGTTGCAGTGTTATGTGACTATAGTCCAAAGTAGGCCTGGGCGATAAAACGGTATCGATATTTATCGACGGTACACCTTCTTCGATAACGATAGAAAAAATGTTCGATATAGCGCACGATATAGGCACATGCTATAAGTGACTTTGGATTAAGCAATGCATAAATACATGATGCTGTTTTGTTAATTTAGACCTAATGCACGTTTTTTTTTTATAGAGCTAGTTCCTTGCGTTGACAATTTAAATGCGCTGCATTGTTTTGCTCATTGCGCCCTCTTGTGGCCTCGGGAGACAAAAGTTTCCTTAAGACCTATTTAATCTGCATATAAAACATTAGAAATTAGATATTTAACTTTTTATTTTGTGTTTGATTGTTAAAACAAAAAATATTTGTTGTTTGTCTCAATAAATTGGGTTAATTTAAAAGTACAGTGGTTAAATAAAAAAAAAATTTCTATTGCTCTTTGTTTTAAAAAAGGTTATAAAAAAAAGTCAATAATTATCGATACCGAATGATATGAAACATTATATCGTTGATCAATTTTTTTGCTATATCACCCAGCCCTAGTCCAAAGTAAACTGAAACTAATTTTCTGCTGTGGAAACGCATGATTCAGGTTGAGAATAAGCACCAACCAGGAACCCGCAAGCAGAACCATTTTGATGGAAAAAGGGCTCATAACAGAAACTTACTCTGATCCAGCGGCCATATCGGTGTAAGGTGTCTCAGGTGTGGTGACTCCCAGTGTGATTACTATGCTCATGACGTCAAGCGCAGCAACGCAGGGAAGGGGGGGGGGGCAGGGAGGGGGGGAAGGGAAGGAGAGGGGAGGGAAGAGGAGAATCAAGGGCTCCTAATGGCAGCAGTGAAGCACTCCTCAGATGGGGCGCTGCTATACCACGTCACGCACATCAGGAGACCTAAAACCATAGACCACATAGAGGGAGAGAGGATTAAGTACATGTCATATGTGTAAATGCAGCCTTAAAACGTGCAAAATTG